AGCTAACATAGCTCTTTCCTGAGAGTCAGCATATGTTACCTGATTTGCTGCCAGATTTCTCGGGCGCACGGAAGTTGCTGTAGGTTCTTTTGTCAGGGTTTTACCTCTTTAGGGGAATTGGTCATGACGGTGTCAAACCAGTGACCAGATGTGCACCACCGAATCACTAATCTCTGTGCGTTTGCTCTCATGCTAAACCTTGAGAAATTATTGAATTGTTCAGAAGATATAAGATTCGAAAGTTTAGACTATTATCGTGTTCGGTAATCCGTCCACCTCAGCCGAGAACTCATGAGGATTTGTTGTGAAAGAGCACATATATCAACGTTATCAACGTTATCTCATGTGAGCTCTTGCTCAAATACTGGCCTCTTCCATTACTCTTCAATCAATATTGCGAGAGGTACTCGAAAATAAAACGGCTGCGGGAATTGCAATAAATGACTTCCATGAAAAAAAAAACGACTGACACATGACTTTCGTCTATATGGGTTCCCGTTGCCGAAGTATCGATGTGCATGCAATTCCAGTTGTGTTTCTGGTCTTGGCTTCGTAAAAGCTTCTGAATCGGATTTTAATGCCTCATTTTGCCTTGGAGTGCCGTACAAAAAGTACTCATAATTGTCTAATCTGCCCATCACAATAGCTAAGTTCATCTCTATTCACTGTGCGACTTCCTTAGCTCTGGTAGTCTAATAATGTATCCATGGTACTAAGAAAAACTATGAATTAAAAAAAGTCCTTTACTAAAGTCATGAATTTTCTCCGAATGAACAATCTTATGCGAATTCTTTCAGACTAAACTTATAAATTTTGGAAAATTATGTCAGCGCCCAAGTAGGACTTTCACTATAACTATTGAAAGCAATTACTTTTTTTTTAACATGATCACTGCCAGCAGCAAATCGACGAGTGGTAGTCGGTCAATATTCCATTAACAACTTTCGCAATAAACCTCACCAATCATGATAGCCTCATAAGCCGATATGATTACTAGGTAAAGTTCACTGCTGACCTGAAACCAACAGTGATCCAAGTTTACTGTTTGTAAAAAGAATGTGCAGCTAACAATCTTTCCTTACTATCTATAAACAAGCAGCAGATACTTTTTAGTAATCTGTCATAGGATGGTTCATGCTCACATGGAACTCATCCGATAAATACTTGCCTCATGAAACGTAGTTCTCAAAGATTTGGAGGACTGCATCAAGTACACCGACGAATCTCCAACTGCGAGAGATCGCAGAAAAGACTAAGGAGTCTTCAGCGTGTGCTCAATGGGCTTGCTACTGCACAAAAGATCAATCACCATTGATAATGTATTTCGAGATAGATTCACCTTTGTGACTCTTCCCAGAAGAGCTACACTGTACGAAACTGTAAATCTAGGCAATCATAAGAGCATGGTTCATTTTTTTCAATTCAAGACAGAATGTCACTTCATGAATAGGAAAAACTGAAAGTTATCCGATCCCACAGTGACAGCAAGCACCTAAACACACCAGTCGTAGACTGTGAACTCAGGTTAACCCTTTGCTGACGGCGCCACTTTCGGTTGACGCACGCTTCGGAAGACTACGAAGAGAGGTCCCGGCGCGCTCTCTCTGTAATTTTGGTGTGGTAGTTTATCAATGAAATTTATACCTTTTTCATCAATAAATATGATTTCTGCATCAGTAAATGGTGGAATATGATGGAACAAACTTTAGTAAGATTATTTTTAGTAGAAGTGATGTAATTGCCCCTTTTATAATTCCACACTTTCAAGGAGAAAAACTAAGTAAAGGCTATATTTGCAACGTTTATCGAACATTTCCATAATATTATATTTATACTTAGCCTTGAATCCTTCTAGAAATATTTTTATAGAGGTCCTTTCACAATGATTCAATAAATTTTGGCAAAAAAGTCTATAAGAATTGAAATTCAACTACACAATCACAATAGATTCGTTCGAATTAGAAATTTGGATTTCGAATGCAAAACGTCAACTTTTATCTATTATTAGAACGTATCGTAAATTTATTTTCAAACAACAAACTTATTATTAAATTGAGATATAATCGAGCTGTCGATTGACTATATAAAGATCGAGAAGATAGGAGGAAAGTATGAAAACAGCTGAGAATATATTCCGTTTCACAAGTAGATGGTTTTTCTCCTCTGAAAAAAAAACAAGAGTTTGGTAATTATTGGCATTAATTTTGCTGAAACTATTCATACAGAAGTCTCATCAGTGACATTATATCGTTTTCGATGATAAAAAATTTCTCTGAGAACCCTAAATTCTAATGTAACACACATCACTCTTCGTAATCGTCTTAGCGGCGCATCCAGCTGAAGCTCATAATAATCCTCATCGTTCTCAAACGGTTAACCCGTTTTTGAAGAAGTAGATGAAGAAGATTTTTGAGAAAGGTGGAATGCTGCCACAGAGATAGTTCATACACGTGTAGAATTTTCGATATCGGTTGACCAAGGCCATAGATTCATTCTACGTTTTATTTCGTTATGGTAATCCCTATTGGGAGACTCCCATGTCCACCGCTATGGATGGAATTTTGAAATGGTGAATTATCATCATTGTTTTTGGACGTCATGATGAACTCAGATAGCAATTTTCCGTGTTCTTTTGATCTAGTCCGTTAACCCAATTGTGATGCTCTTCTGTTCTTCCATCCAATTTTCGTGGTGAATTACAAGAACGACTTCAAAAAATTTACGACCTTTTCTAAAAAACTGTCCTAAATTCATACAGAACGCTCTTGATCATAGCTTAATGCTGATGCGTAAGCAGCGAAGGTGGCAAAGCTGGCATTGATCCACATCTTCTCAACCGCAAGCGTCTGATCAGCAGTGTCAAATGTTTTAATGACTCAGTATTCATGGTCAAACCAGTTTTGACGGGAACTCTATGCCGCCGACTTTTTAGTTTTCTCATGTTTTAAAAAAGGCTGCTCCCCGGTGTCATAGACAGCAGAAATCGGTGGCACCCTCTCTTCTCAGCGAGCCGATGACGTCGTACCACAGCCTTCTCCTGCACTATGAAGTAATTTTTACAGTATTCGTTTGCAAAGTGCTTGTGGAATAAAGGTACAGATCGAAATTTTGGTCCATTGCAATTTGGGTATCTTAGTTTGGCCTTCTGATATCAACAGCTTTTGCATAGTCGTCCTTCTCAGCGTTGCTGTGTCGAAGGCTCTAATAGGATCAGAGAGGTGAGGTCCGGATTCTTTGAAGTGCTTAGCTTTTCATAGCCCTCACACAGGTAGCTGAGCTCTGAATGTAAGCACTGAGCATTCGAGGATATCTTACTCGTCTCTCCTAGAGGAACAGAGGAAAGCTTTCTTGCTGAGGTGATGCTCATTCCATATGTATTTCCTAGATGCTTGACTGCAATCTTGGCGGAGATGACTTGTAAGAACGAGGCATATCAAATCGGAACAGTAAAAACAGGGAGCCCATCCTCTAAATCTACCTGCGTCCCATAAAATCACATGGTCGTCTCTGATTTGTGTTTAAATCTCCTTATACGACATCTCAGAACGCGCCATGCGACCTCGTGGCTAACCGGGCAAAGATGCTTTCATGAGGGACTTGTATAGTAAGGGCTATGCACTGTATATGAATGTCGCCATATTAGGCCTGTGAGCTCTGATTTTATCCTCTTTGATTACAAAAGAATTACGACTAAGTACCAGCAGGATCGAATTTTGCCATTCATCACCAACATTTTCCACTGCCTTCAAAATTCTCTCCTGTGATAAGGATGAAGGAATCCCGGCAACGATCAGTACCAGCTCTCACATCACAAAGGTACACTATCACTACGACCAGTCTCGCTGGGAAGTGGCGATAGCAGGCCAGTTGATTGTTTTAGTTAAAGGCCAAATTGTAGCAATGTAATTGCTCTTGTTAAGTCAGTTTATCATCGGTATACATTAGTGCTGAACGAAGATTCTTAGATGGGCCAACTTATATAGAGCATTGGAACGCTATCAGAATTTTCACTGCAGCTAGGTCCCTAACCAGTATATGTCTGTTTTGTTATATAAATACATATAGCCATTCAACCAAAAACCGCAGGGAGGAATGCCTCTTTATCACACGTGATCTAATCAGTATATAAGATTGTTGTTTTGATGGGTAAGGTGCATTACAAGCCTATGTGATCTTCTTCCGAAGGTCTCCACTTGAATCATTCACTGGCACAGATATAAAAAGCGATGAGTATGTTGAGAGTTAATTTTTTGCATGATGCGATTGAAATCTAGGTCTGGTTTTTTTTTCTAAAAGAGTATTGAAGGTGTTTGACTTATTGGATTGCGTACAATTTAACCTTTACACACTCTGAAGAAGGCGAACTGCCGAAACGTCGGCTGTCAAATAAAGTTTATTGTAATACCTCGTGTTTGGCTCAAAGAGGAAAATAAGGAATTGTATTTCAGCCATCGGTGTCAATAAAAAGTACGCTCTCCCAACTCTACATTCTCCTTTTGGGTAGACACATCTATCGTACTATAACAAACTGCTAAATCCATGAACACTACTTAACCACTCTTTCCTTGTTTGCGAGGCATGATAGCGCTATAGCTTCCCTGTATTGCAAAAGTACCCGGCCGTGAAAGATTACGTGCTATCGTTGCCCTCAGTTACTGCTTTTATTCGTTGTATTATCTCTGCTGGGTGATCGTGTTAATCTGTTTGTGTTTTTGTACTTGCGTTACTTTATATCGCCAATCCATTAATGCTTTATTAATATTGGTGCATATAAAGTCTTAATGTAAGCTTGATATGATGGCTTATAACATTCGTTTGCAATCTTGAGGTATTAGTATGACAGAAGAGATAAGTACGCTAATGCCAGTCTACTAATTACAACTGCATCATCCTAAATGATTTTACTTTAAATCAGTCAAAATTCTTTTTATTTAACTGCCACTTACAGTGGTATGATGTTATAATATATTTAATAATGTGGAGTGCTATGCAAAAGCATTTGCGTCAGCCGGGATTCCAACCCAGATCTCACTCTTTGCGGGAATGTATGCTAACCGTTGCACTACCTACTCTCGTTTTGCATGCCCCGCCAGACCGTCGACAGTTGCTTGTTGGCAGACAACGCGTTACAGCGTAAAAAAAGAGTGCTGTGTAAAACGATCGCGAGTGGTGCAATGGTTGGCATAAGCTCCCGGAAAGAGTGAGATCTGGGATCGAATCCCGGCTGACGCAAATGCTTTTGCACAGCACTCCACATTATTGGGTATACTTTGAATATTTCAAGAATTCTTGTGCAAAGAACAACTTTGACAAAACTATCGAAAGCAAGTATCTTGATAATGTTGGTGACTTCAGCAAGATTCAAAAGAAAAGTAAAAACCAATACATTGATGTCTGTTTGAGAAATATCTTACTGACACATATTATGAGTTCTTCTGCAAAGGTTCTCTTTGACCGGTTTTGAATTATTTGTTAACAGCTTAAGCCTTTTCACGTTCAGGTATGTATAGGAGGAAATGTGTTCAAATGCAGATAAATATCTCACAGTAATCTGCCATACAACTCTAATATTTCAGTCATTAACGCTTTCTGCCCGGCAAGTACGCGTGAGCGCATGTGACACCCCCGTTGAGAACTTGGCAAAGTACGTGTGGAAATCGAGAGCTGAAAGCAGTAACGTAAATGGGCCTCATTCTCCTGCTCCCGAAGGAGTCTCTGATACTGCAGAATTGCTGAGGAGATCATAAGGCAACTGATATTTTACCTTGAATGAATCATAATCGATGTTATCTCTTTGGAAAAAAATGCAGGTGAATGTATCAAAAATTGTTTGTGAACAAAAAATTGAATATTGATTTTTTGCCGTTAGCATCTGACGCATGAATCAATCACATCGTCGTTTTGAAATTAGGTCATTTTGCCATTTTGGAAAGGTTTCTCGTGAAAACTAGCGCTAGCTCGCGACGAGTGCGATAACAAGCTTGCTTTCACTGCTGCAGCGCTGTAAGCAGGCCTTTCTAGAAAACAAGTACCACTTTTGATACACACTTGGTTTGAGCTTCTTAAAGATTACTATGAGCCGAGTGGAAAGTCTTTGCACAGAAAAAATGCTCTCTGAGAAAAAACACTATCCGATAACAGAATAGTGCAAAACTAGTAATTACCTATAAATCATTAGTCAGCAAAGACACAGTGAACTAATTTTTTCAGGTCGTCGCCCTGTGATCAAGTTATAGAATAGAAGAGGGTCAAAAAGGGCCCAAGGACTGAAAAAATGGTTTTGAAAGGGTACAAGTTAATGTGCACTCAGACTCTATAGGGACCGTAAGGTGTGCTGCGTATTTGAGTGACCAAAGGCGAAACATTTCTAAGGAACCGGATTTTATTGTACTACTCCGGAAAGCACATGTAACTAACGGATTCATAGTGAGTTTTGCCAAAATCACTGAAATACCACAAACAACATTACGCGAACTGCGTGCAACTAATATAGTAGGTTGATATGTTGCCAAAATGTCTGACAAATAAGATGTTGAAATCGATCAATAATTGATCTTCTCTGCCATTAAGATATCATTATGAGGCGTTCAAGCATCAGGTGACTGATTCAGTGAAACATTACTCAGAACGACCAACATCACTAATAATATCATCAGCTAATCAGTACTTTTTGCCCTAAGAGGAAACCTTGATCAGTAAAGCAATCGTACAATTGAATGACATTGAAGCCAGTGAGGTCGAAGAAACGGTCGGAATAGTCGGAAAGTTACTTTATCCTGATAGTCGACAGAAGTATTTCGAAATTTCGAGTAGTACGAGAATTCCTAAAAAAAGAACATTTGGTCAACCGCAAACAAAGGAAACAAAGAAAAAAATCCGGCCCAAAGGACTCTTTATATATGACTTGTTTGTACCCCCATTTTTGTCGTAATCGTTGAATATTCATTATGAAGGGTTCGTGATTCAGATATTTGTTTGGCTTGAAGGAGAAGATTAGGTCTTCTCGAACAGAGTTTTTTTCTATTATAATTTTAGTACTTATTCAAAAGCAGTAATCTTGATAATCAGTGCTATGCTTGCTTTTGAAAAAACCTTTCTAGTGCACTGTAGCGAATAAAAGAAAATTATTTTTTCTAATTGGAGCGCGTTGTTTGCACGGCTAAGATGTTTTTTGACGAGACCATATCGATACTTATTCGATAACAAAAATTTCAGCAATTTCAAGACTAAATTTGGTTTGTGAGATTTTAATACTGCGTTTTACAAGCTAAAATGAAATTATGTTTTATACTCGGAGTTTCATCTCACAGAAGGGTTGAATATTCATTAAAAGTACAAGGCTGAGGAAGAAGTTTCTTAACACCCACAAAAAATACAATGTTTGTTTCACGCAGTGTCGGTTATTGTTAATTGATGGGAATATCCGAGAGATGTTTCCAAAAGGAAAGCAGCTGGAAGGAGTTCACGAAGCGTTGAAGGAAAAGTACGCGAAAACTATTCGCCGAAAGCGCACGCTTTTCAGCAAGGCAGTGCCAAACCTCACACCGCAAAGAAGACTAAGGAAAAGCTTGATGAATTGAAGGGAGTCAGACGCGCAAACAACCTTCAGACCAGATGCGATGCGCGCAGTCCGATTATGGTCCAGTTCCGCTTAATGAAACATTTCCTGGGTGGATGCCGATCGGAGCTATTGTTCAACTTGAAGAGGCATATGAGAAGCTTTTGATTCAAAGCTCAAAGAAATGTCCATTCACAGGGGAAGAATCTTTCATGGGAGTATTAGTGAAAATTCGAAAGCTAAGCCATGAAGCTATAGCTCCACGTTAAGCTACAACTCCTTGAGGCTACAGCTCCAGCTCCAGCCTCACTAAATTCGTGTTGATTATTACATGGTCCTATTCAATTATAATACGGCAAATTCATATTCTAAACGTCATTACTCAGACTTCTCTAAAAGGATCAGGCATCCAGTAGCATTTCCCGATTCCTGACATCGAACTACTCAAAAATGCTCTCAACTTAGCTGAAGCGTTTGGATGCGGATAGGAAATTCACGTCAAATATTACACGAGTTTGCTCCATCATAGTATAGCACCTTCATATTCTAAAATTATGCCGCATCCAGTAGGATTTTCTGATTCCTGGTTTCGAATTCATGTTACATATCACACGATTTTGCTCTATTATAGATAGCACCTTCTTAGTCTAAACGTAATTACTCAGTCTGCTTAGAAGGATCCTGCATCCAGGAGCATTTCCTAATTCCTGGCATCGAACTCTATGTGAAAACGCTCTCATCTTGGCCGAAGCGTTTGAAAGCGTCCATAAAACTTCATGTCAAATATTGCATGTTTTGTTAATATTACATGATTTTGCTCTATTATAGTATAGCACTTCATATTCTGAACGTCATTAGTCAGTCTGTTCTAAAAGGACCCGACATGCAGTAGCATTTTCTGATTCCTATAATCGAACTCTATCTAAAAATGCTCTCAGTCTTGGCTGAAAACGTTTGAATGCGCATATGAAATGCATGTCAAACTAACGCGATTTTGCACGATTACAGTATAGCACTCTCATTTTCTGAGCGTTATTGCTCAGTCATAAAAGGATCCAGCATCCAGTAGCATGTTCTGATTCCTGGCGTCGAACTCTATGTAAAAATGTTCTCATCTTGGCTGAAACTTTTGATAGCGCTTAGGAAATTCATGTCAAATATTACACGATTTTTCTCTATTATGGTATAGCATCTTCATATTCTTAACGTTATTTCTCAGTCGGTTTTGAAAAAAAAACCGGCATCCAGTAGCATTTTCTGCTTTTAGCTTCGAACTGTATCTTGATTAGCTCTCATTTCGGCTGAAACGTTTGAAAGCGCCTATGAAAGCGCATGCTAAATATCACACGGTTTTGCTCCATTATAGTATAGCACCTTCATATTCTAAATGTCATTGCTCAATCTGTTCCAAAACTATCCGTCATCCAGTATCATTTTCTGATTCCTGGCATCGAACTCTACGTAAAAATGTTCTCACCTTGGCTGAAACTTTTGAGAGCGCTTAGGAAATTCATGTTAATATTAAATGGTTTCTTGGTCTATCAGCGTATAGCACTTCCACATTCTAAACGTCATAGCTCTGTATATTCTAAGAGGATCCTGAACTCAGTGTCTTTCCTGATTCCTAGCATCGAACTCTATTTGAAAATGCTCACGTCTTGCCTGAAACGCCTTACAGCGCCTAGAAAATTCATGTTAAATATGACATGGTTTCTTAGTCTTTTTCAGTTTGGCACCTTCATTCTAAACGTCATAACTCAGTGTATTTTGAAAGGAACCGGCATCCATTATCATTGCTTGATTTCTCAGCTTCGAACTCTATCTAAAAATGCTCTCATCTTCTTTAAAACGCCTTTTTTTAGTTTTTTTTTTACCATTTTTAGATAGAGTTCGATGCGAGGAATCAAAAAGTGCCACTGGATGCCGTGATCCTCTTGGAATAGACTGAGTTTGACGTGTTAGGTCGTGAAGGTGCTGTACTATTATATACTATGAAAGGGGGTGTGCTATAACATTTGTCTCACGGTATGAATTGGGTGTGCTTGTCTGAAGGTTTACTGAACGTTAATAGTGGGTGTGCTAAAATATTCGTCTCAAGATAGAAAACTAGGTGCCCAATAATATCTATCTGAACGTATAAACTGTTTGTTTAAGAATATTCGTCTCAAGGTGTAAAGTGGTTGTGCAATAATATTCGTCTCAACTTATAAGTGGGTGTGCTACAATATTCTCCTCAAATTATAAACTGTGTGCCCAATAATATTCGCCTGAACATATAAACTGTTTGTAAAGGAATCTTCATCTCAATGTGTAAACTGAGTGTGCTATATCTTCCGTCTTAGGGCATAAACTGGGCTTTCAGTAATATTCGTCTGATTTTATCAACTGAGTGTGCAGTAATATTCCTGTGGTGATAAGAAGTGGGAGTGCAATTATATTCGTCAGTTGGTATAAACTGTGTTTTAGTATATTCGCCACATGCAAAATGGGTGTGTATTATACTTGTCTGGTGGT